ATGTTTATTTCAACTCATTTGGGGGGGGGGAATGGGAAAAGCTGGAATTCAGTATTTTGTGTTCAGAACCAACTTGTTGGTTTCCCAAACAATTTGAGAGTGCTGGAGACCCCATATTAAACACAACACACAGAGACACACAAACCACGTACGGACAAAATTAGGAGCTGTGGTGAAAATGGTTAGATATGCAGTATTGCAAGCTAACTCTGCCCACTGCCAGGAGTTCGATCCTGACCGGCTCAAGGTTGACTCAGCCTTTCATCCTTCCAAGGTCAGTAAAATGAGAATCTAGGTTGTTGGGGGGCAACGTGCTGACTCTGTAAACCGCTTAGAGAGGGCTGTAAAGTGCTGTGAAGTGGTATATAAGTCTTAAGTGCTATTTCTATTTCTACATTTTGAGGCTAACTATCCTGTTTCATCTGGTTCTTCGATTTGTGTCAGATTTAAACTGTGTGCAGTTATTCACAGTGACACCCCATAAAATGCATCAAGCAGTATTCCTAAAAGGGGAAACTTAAGTCTTTTAAATTGAACTTCGTATCGTAGGTTAAATTTCGGCTATATTTAAAGGAGACAGCTTGAGTCTAGAAATTCTTTAAAAAAAAAAAAGCTTTAAGCGCATTGTCATGTCCTCAGTTGACTGCAGTAAAACCAGATGGAAAAAAAGATTATATAAACCCTCTCCTATACTGCAGCTCACTTTGCCCTAAAGAAGTTTCTTTTTTTTTCCCCTCTATGTAATATAAAACAAAACTCCAATAAATTCTTTCAGAAGATTAAGCCATAAAACACGGAGCCCAAGAATGTCCCTTTGAAGTCGAAGGACGAGTACTGCTTCCCGGATACTCATCTTCCTCCTTAAAACCATTGCTTTAGAATGCTGAATATAATGGTTGTTCTTTAATAGAAAAGCCGCACTCTCGTCCAGGGTAGGTTGTGTTGCACTAATAAATGTCATTAGGACAGAATTAAAATGTTCTATAGCCCAGGGAGAGCTAACATAATTGGGAAGGGAAAACAGTCCTGTTCACCCTGGTCTCTCCCTTTCTAGCTAAATTCATCTTCTCTGTCCCCAGGAGAAGAGCAGTTGTAGCAACAGCAGTTTGTTAGGGATGCAACTTGGTGCTTTGCTTAAAAAAAGTTTGAATCCATCCTCAAGACACAAGAGAGTGGAAAGCCATTTGAGTTTTTAATTTAGAAAGAATTGTGGAGCATGGAAAATAAGCTTTTTTAAAAGAGGTTGACTATTTTAGCTTCAGTACTTACGTTCCTTACCATTCTCTGCAACTGCACTCTAGGAGCAGCATTGCCTTAGAGCAGGGCTATCCAAATTTGGCAACTTCGAATCCCAGAATTCAATCCAGGGAGTGAAAATCCACTAAGTCTTAAAGTTGCCAAGTTTGAACCTTCCTACCTTAGACCAGAGCTTTTCAACCAGTGGTACGCATACCACTAGTGGTACTTTGGCACCTGGAAGGTGGTACGCGACCATCCTAGACAAGTGTAGCAGGAGAGAGTTGAAGCAGCGGCAGCACTACATAAGCCTGAGGGAGAGACAACTGGAACTGCAGGGCTCAGCGGAAGCCAAGAATCAATGTGCGTGGCTATATGCTGATAGGCACTTCCAGCACACCCAGAAGAGCAGAGGAGGATGGGGGAGAGGAGAGGATATAAAAGGAGGTTTTGGCGGGAGGAGAGAGAAAAAGATGCAGCCTTGGGAAGAGGAGTTAGCTGGACCTGCACCAAAGAGAAGAGGAGGGGAGAGAGGAGAGGATATAAAAGGAGGTTTTGGCGGAGGAGAGAGAAAAAAAGACATAGCCTTGGGAAGAGGAGTTAGCTGGACCTGCACCAAAGAGAAGAGGAGGGGAGAGAGGAGGATATAAAAGGAGGTTTTGGTGGGAGGAGAGAGAAAAAAAGACGCAGCTTTGGGAAGAGGAGTTAGCTGGACCTGCACCGAAGAGGAGGGGAGAGAGGAGAGGATATAAAAGGAGGAATGGGAGAAATTGGTTAAATGAGTTTTGCCTCATTTTCCGACTTCTCTTGCCACATTTATTAAGTGAATCACTGCAGTTGTTAATAGCACAATTGTTAAGTGAATCTGGTTTCCCCATTGACTTTGCATGTCAGAAGATTCTAAAAGGGGATCACATGATCCCGGAACACTGCAACCGTCATAAATATGAACCAGTTGTCAAGCATCTGAGTGTAAATCACATGTCCCTGGGGATGCTGCAACAGTCAGAAGTGCGAAAAATGGCCATAAGTCTCTTTTTTTCATTGCTGTTGTAACTTTGAACAGTTACTAAATGAATCGTTGTAAGTCGAGAGACTACTTTAATGTGGCAATAAAGGGAAATAGTTAAACCCATGCAGAGAAATTGTAATCTCTGGTTAATTGGATTATTTTTTTTTAAAAAAAAAAACCAATGAAATATAGCTTTTATTATTGACTGTCCCATTTTTTTTTCCAAAACCAGCACATCAAAAGCCAAAACAGGTCTCCCCCCTGGAAGAAACGCTGCATTTATAGGTTAAGCAGACAAATAGTTGGGCTATTTTCCCTGTCCCAAATTGACAAAGACTTTGTTCTAATTGATAAAGACTTTGATCCATACAAACTCTGCAATGCAAATTTAATTGTGTCCTATTTTTTTTTCCCTAAAATTGTGTTGTTTTACTATGTCCTACTTTACCAGTCATAGAATCCTTTTTTTTTCCCCCCAACCATTCAAATGAGTGGAAAGACAATCATTTAAAAATGCTTTACGTACAAGGAATTAAAACTAAGGATTAACCTAAAATGGGAAATGAGCTGCAGTTTTCCCATCAGGGCACTGGCAGTGATAGTCACAGGTTTCTTGACCATCTTGGCAATCAAAGCCCACTTCCCCCGCCACACCTTTGCTTGATTTTTATCCTGCATTTATTACTTTCTAAGCAACTCAAGGGAGTGAATATGCCTATTATTCCTTCCTACTATTTTCCCCACAACAACTATCCTCTGAGGTGGGTTGGGCTGAGAGAGTGTAAAAAAGTTAGTATAGAAAATTCTTAAATCCCTATGCCTGCATGTATGAATGTTACACATATTGTAAGAAGGCAAAATTTAAGAAAGTCCTGTATATTGTATATTATTCCTTAGAAACAAAGGTTTTTCTCTCAATATGGCTGAATGCTGAGATAAAAAGCCCAAAGTCGCCAAATCAGTTTTCATGATTAAGACAGGACTAGAACTCACAGTCTCTTAAAGTCACTCAGTAGCTTTCATACCATAGGTGGGACCAGAACTCACAGCCTCCTGGTGATTGGCCCAAAGTCATCCAGCTAGCTTTCATACCAAAGGTGGGACTAGAACTCACAGTCTCCTGGTGATTGGCCCAAAGTCACCCAGGTGACTTTCATGTCTAAGGTGATACTAGATCTCACGGTCTCCTGGCGATTCACCCAGATCACCCAGGCAGCTGTCATGTCTAAGCTGAAACTAGAACTCACAGTCTCCTGTTGATTAGCCCAAAGTCACCCAGGTGACTTTCATGTCTAAGGTGATACTAGATCTCACGGTCTCCTGGCGATTCACCCAGATCACCCAGGCAGCTGTCATGTCTAAGCTGAAACTAGAACTCACAGTCTCCTGTTGATTGGCCCAAAGTCACCCAGGTGATTTTCATGTCTAAGGTGATACTAGATCTCACAGTCTCCTGGTGATTCACCCAGAGTCACCCAGGCAGCTGTCATGTCTAAGCTGAGACTAGAACTCACTGTCTCCTGTTGATTGGCTGAAGTTACCCAGGTGACTTTCATGTCTAAGGTGGTACTAGAACTCACGGTCTCCTGGTTTCTAAGCCAGCACCTTAACCGCTGCACCAAACTGGCTGTGCATTGCCTGCGCATAAAAAAGGATGGGGTGTTGATCACTACTCCATCCAGACCATTCTGAAGCCAGTAACTGTAGCATACATGTTCTTCTTCCCACGTTGCCTTCAACAGCTCCTGTAATTGAAGACAATCTAGAAAGCAGTTCCTAAGACAGCCTGGAAGGTCACTCAAATACATTTTGTAAAGTGTAGTTAAAGTGTCATAAATATTGTTGAACTCATTGTATTATCTCCACTGCCTACGATTTTCTCTTCTTCCTCTTCTTCTTCTTCTTCTTTTTTTTTTTTTTGTGGCCTTGCAAGGGGCAAAACTCCCAATCAGTATAAACACAATTGTATTGGGTAATTGGCTCGTGATACATTGCAAACATAATGAAACCAGATTGAAAAACAAATCAGGGGCTGTAAAATGGGGGCTATTGACAGACAGAGCAGGATTTCCAACCAGGTATAAAATGATGCCATGCCAGAGATGCAGGATGAAATAATGTTGTGTCTACGTTGTGACTTTTAAATGCATCCAGGTGAGTGAGTTACTTCTCACATCCCATCTAAGTACAAGCAGTCCTCAACTTACAACAGTTCACTTAGTGACCATTCAAAATTACAACATCACTGAAAAAAGTCACTTATGATATGACCATTTTTCACACTTACGACCATTACAGCATCCCCAAGACCATGTGATCAGAATTCAGGCACTTGGCAACTGGCATGTACTTATGACAGTTGCAGTGTTCCAGAGTCATGTGATGACCTTTGGTGACCTTCTGACAAGCAAAGTAATGGGAGAGCCAGATTTACTTAACAAGTAAATCAACAAGTAAATGAGTAAAATCAGGTAAAGCTGGCGATCGTCTCTTCAACTTAACTGCAGTGATTCTCTTAACAATTGTGGCAAGAAAGGTCGTAAAATGGGGCAAAACTCACTTAACCAATGTCTCGTTTAGCAGTCTAAATCTTGGGCCCAATCGTGGTCTGTACACATTGCAAAATTTGCGACACCGAAGAGGAAATGTACGGTTAAAATACTACCATAACTCACAATGGCATGTGGATTGTTTAAATAAAGGAACACAACAGAGACTCATGTTAGCAGTTTTTAATTCCTGTTTAAAAATCACAACAAAATAAGTTTGAAAGCCCAAGTCGAAAGCTGGTGGTCGTCTCTTCAAGCAAAGAATGCAGAAATTAATAACATTTTGTTTTGTTTTTTAAAAAAAGATAACATCTAAGATAATGTTACCCACCTACTATGTGGATTAACACGTCCAAGCCTTAAGGAATATAATTTTCCATATTAAGAAGAAAGAAAAGATTGTAAATATTATGCTGTGCTCAGAATTCTTATTTCTTTATATACCTGCTCAGTTTGGGGGTTGATGACTTTGTCAGCTTTTTTTTTTTTTTTAACGTGCAGGAAAAAAATCACTAAAGTTTTTATTCCAAAACCATTTTTCTAGATTTCCAACAGACATGTATTCCGAGTGTCTCTTTATATGGTCGCAAGCTAGACATAAGTGGGAGTTCCAGAAATTAGGACGGTAGACCGAAAAATCCTTCTTCCACTCAAAGTAACTTAGGTACAGCGCATCATTTTGGTCGAGCATCAAAAGATACTCAGAGAGATTCTTAGGGGACTCAAAATCGTCCACGTGAATGAAAGACTCAGCCGGGATGTAATCCTCGTAGTTTTCTCTGGGAGGACCCAGAACCACGGGCACAGATCCGGCCAGAAACGCAAAGTAAAGTTTCTCGGTAATATAATCTTTAAAGATGGAATTTTCAAAGGCCAGATAAAACTTGCAAGACGAAAGGGTGGGCATGAAGTCTTCCCAGCTCAGAGGTCTTCCAAACACTTTCCCATAAGTATGAATTCGAATGTATTTCTTTAATGCCTTGTAATAGCGAATTCTCTCCTGAGGATACCGGTTGCTGACTACCCAACATACGAATTTGGTTTTGGGGGGCACTTCGGCCCGAGAGGCATTTGGGTTAAAAGTGAGGAAGCCGTAAGGTATGTGAATATCTGCATCCCGGCGGTAAGTGAGGGTCAGGTTGAAGAGGCGGTTTAACCCATGCTTGGGGACTGAGTGGGCGGGAGACTCCATGTTCATCCAGACCCACTTCTGAAACGGAGGCCTGGGCTGCTGAGGGAGGTTGCTGAGATCCCACATGAGGTCTCGGTGGTGAAAGACGACCCCGTGGGACTGATTATACATGCTCCGATTCATGGTGATGTGACAGCTGGAGATGTTCATGTTCAGACAGTTCAACGGGTTCATTCTGCACCCAAAGGGGCATAGCCAAACCAGAATGAGGGTGGTATTGCTTTGGATGAAGTTGTTGTTGTAGGATTCATCCTGACCGAAGAACGTGGCAGGTTCTGATGTAGAATCTCCCTGATTTAGTTTGAAGTAAAACCAAAGCTGGGTAGGTTTGATGTAGACCAGCAGGCAGGCCCCAAAGCAGACCAAAAACAGGAAGAAAGCCAGGCAGAACCAGAAAACTCTGGATGGTGTGCTCATGGCCCCAAAATCACCTCAGGGTGCTTCACTGACTTCAAAAGGATGACCCAGGGCTGGATGGAGAAGGATGACCAACACCGTGGCCAGGTAGCAGATGGCCAGTGATTTTTTTGCCCCTCCAGAAACAGCAGGAGGAAAAAGGGGAGGAGACACTGAGGGGGAAGGTCTTCCCTCTCCTATTCAACTCTTCCTACAAAGAAAGGCCACGTCCCTTCCTGACTGGAATTATTTAGGCCAGGGGTAGGCAACCTTGGCTTTTTTATGTCTCATGGACCAACTCCCAGAATTCCTGAGCCAGCATGACTCAGCTTGGAAACCTCTCCCTTTCCCCTCAGCATGGCTGGCTCAGGAATTCTGAGAGCTGAAGTCCACGAGTCATAAAAGAGCCAAGGTTGCCTATCCCTGGCCTAGGCCTGTATTTTTCAACCTTGGCCACTCGGAGATGGGTAGACTTCAACTCCCAGAATTCCTGAGCCCACATGGGGGAACTATGGCCCCTTCATGACTTGTGGACTTCAACTCCCAGAATTCCTGAGCCAGCAAGGCTCAGCTTGGAAACCTCTCCCTTTCCCCTCAGCATGGCTGGCTCAGGAATTCTGGGAGTTGAAGTCCACGAGTCACAAAAGAGCCAAGGTTGCCTATCCCTGAGAAGGCCTCTTGGCAACTTGGAGGCCTGCACTTTAAAAATCCAGAAAAAATATACACACCTACATATATTCACACATACATACAATGTATTTAATGGCTGACCTATTTGCTTTCAGTCCGCTGGTAATTCCATATGTATACATGGAATCACAAGAGGGCTGAAGTTAAATAGGTCAACCATTAAAAAAAATAAATGAATAAATAGATAAATTTATTGGTGGGCTCAGTCCTCTCTCGGCCCCAAAGGCCTGAATCTGTGTTTTCAGATGACCTATAGCAGAGCTTCTCAACCTCAGCAGCTCGAAGATCGGTGGACTTCAACTCCCAGAATTCCCCAGCCATGGCTGGAGAATTCTGGGAGTTGAAGTCCATGCATCTTCGAGCTGCCAAGGCCTGTGAAATACTGGCCTAAGGATAGCAGTGTACAAATAGGGGTGTTAGATGGGAGTTACTGGGTGGACTGCAAGGAAGCCTTGCATGGGACAAAATGGTGTTGGTGGGGCTCCTTCTAGGGAGGCAAATAGCTGGTGAAGGGGTTGGGGGCAAGGTGGGGAAGAAGGAGGGCAGAGACAAATTATCCTGGAAGAAAGACTTTCAAACAGGGCAGATTTCTGAAAATGCATGGGGATAGGTGCGTATGTGTATTTGTGTAGCAGTATACAATGTGAGTAACAGCATACACAGTACAACCATGTAGCTGGCATGTAGTACAGAAGCAACTGCCTGGTGTACAGTCTAGATCAGTGGTGGCGAACCTATGGCACGCGTGCCAGAGGCAGCACTCAGAGCCCTCTCTGTGGGCACCACATAGAGAAAAAAAAAAGCATTCAAGCTGTCACAATTACTATAACTAACCCTGTTTTTCACCAGCACCTGATGAGCATCCATGCTGATTTGCTTGGCGCACCGGGAAAAAAAAGGTTGCTCAAAATCTCAACTTCCACTGATGCTTTTAGGGAGAAAAAAAACCAAAGCATTTTTTTTAAAAGTTCATTTCAAATTTAAAAAAAGTAAAGTAGTCCTCCACTTACAACCACCATTGAATCCCATTGACTTTGCTTGTCAAAAGGTTACAAAAGGGCATCACATGATCAACCGTCATAAATATGAGCCAGTTGCCAAGGGCCTGAATTTTGATCACATGACCATGGGGATGCTGCAACAATCAAAAGTGTGAAAAACGGTCGTCAGTCACTTTTTCCAGGCCCGTTGTAACTTTGAATGGTCACTAAATGAACTGTTGTAAGTTGAGGAATACCTGTATTATAATTTCTGGGGTTTCTTTAAGCACTCCAAATTTTGTTGTGAGCAGAACCTGGAATTTTCAGAACATCAATTTCCTCAAATGATTTGATATTTTTGGCTCTATTGTTTTAATATGATTTGATGTGCCTTTTGATGTGTCTTTGATTGGCAGCCTCTTAGAACTGGTTGAAAAATGGGTAGCTGTATAAATATTTTTAGAATTGGAATAGAATAGAATAGAATGGAATGGAATGGACTAGAATAGAATAAAATAGGAATAGGAATAGGAATAGAATAGAATAGAATAGAATAGAATAGAATAGAATAGAATAGAATAGAATAGAATAGAATATACAACAGAATAGAAAATAGAATAGAAAAATAGAATAATAATAGATATATATAGAGAATAGGAATAGGATAGGATAGGATTAGAATAGAATAGAATAGAATAGAATAGAATAGAATAGAATAGAATAGAATAGAATAGAATAGAATAGAATAGAATACAAAATATGGAATGGAATGGAATGGAATGGAATGGACTAGAATAGAATAGAATAGAATAGAATAGAATAGAATAGAATAGAATAGAATAGAAAATATGGAATGGAATGGAATGGAATAGAATAGAATAGAAAATATGGAATGGAACGGAATGGAATGGACTAGAATAGAATAGAATAGAATAGAATAGAATAGAATAGAATAGAATAGAATAGAATAGAATAGAATACTTTATTTGGCCAAGTGTGATTAGACACACAAGCAATTCATCTCCGGTATGGAAACTCTCAGCATATATGCAAAGCAATAGAATAATAACATTGATATTAATAATATTAATATTAATAATACCAATAAGAGGGGGTATTAAAGAAGGATAATAATAATATTACAGCCATACTACGTGGGTAAATATACCTAGACATTAGACAGTACTGTGAGAATTAAGTATTCAGCAGAGTGATGGCATGAGGGAAAAAATTGTCCCTGTGTCTAGTTGTTTTGGCATGCAATGGTTGTCTCAAGGGGAGGTCTTGAAGCAGTTTATTCCAGGATGTGAGGGGTCTACGGATATTTTCTCAACCTTCCTTCTGACCTGCGCAATCTGAAATAAATAGAATTAAATAAATAGGACAATAGTGAAGCTATGATCCTTTTTGGCCTGAAAGAAATAAGCACAACAAATAAGTACAAATTAGCTGTTATTCCTTCCTTCAAGTAAGGCAAAAGGATTCTGTTTTTGATAAAAGGAAGATTTAAAGCTTGGGTTTTCCCCCCTCCTAATTTACCAGCAGTATCAACAGATGACAGAAGGTTAAATGCATTTTTTTTCCTTTAGACTGGGCAAAGAGCTTTTAATTCCTTATAAAAGCAAAGAGATTGAAAACAGGAAGGTAGAGAAACCGCTAATGGTTGGGAGGTAACTAAAATGCAGGCTGCCCTTTCTCCCCCCCTCCCCAGTTCGTAATATAATAAACCATTATTTAATGGATGCTTGAGAACGGAGTTCAGGGCAAATCAGCTGATGTTTTGATAGCCGGAAAAGTCAAATGACTTTCAATCGGCTTCTTCTTTTTCTTCCACATGTGTAACTTCAAAGCATCCTCTCCCAAAAGTGCCCTTTCTTTCTGAGCAATTAAAAAAAAAAGAGGGGGCTGAATTAATCTACCCTGGAAGAGAATATTCCTTTGCTGTAGGTTCTTGAGAGGCCTGGATAAGATCTTGCTTTTTTCCAACAAATGAAAAAAAAAAAAGATCTCTTTTGAGTTCCTCTCCTTTTTCAGCTGCTTTTAAGTCCCACCAAGAAAAGAGTTTTAAATGGTACCAGAAACCACAAAGATCTTTAGTGGGAATTCTTGCCTATTTGGTGCAGATCTAACCCAGAAACAATTAAATTACAGACCTATCAGCCTGACCTCAATACCTGGGAAGATCCTGGAAAAGATAATCAAACAACGAATCAGCGAACACCTAGAGGCAAACAAAGTCATTACTAAAAGCCAACATGGGTTTGTCAAAAACAGATCATGCCAGACAAATCTTATTGCATTCTCTGACCAAGTGACAAAATTAGTGGATCAGAGGAATGCTGTGGACATAATTTACTTGGACTTCAGTAAGGCATTTGATAAAGTAGATCACATCCTACTACTCGATAAGATAGAAAAATGTGGGGTAGACAGAATCACCACCTGATGGATCCGTAGCTGGCTGACCGGAGGGAAGTGTGTAGTGGGGTGCCCCAGGGCTCTGTTCTGGGCCCAGTGCTCTTCAACATCTTCATCAACGATTTGGACGAAGGGATAGATGGGGAACTCATCAAATTTGCAGACGAAACCAAGCTGGCAGGAATAGCCAACACTCCAGAAGACAGGCTTAAGATACAGAAGGATCTGGACAGACTTGAACACTGGACACTATCTATCAAAATGAAATTCAGTGGTGAAAAAAGTAAGGTTCTACATTTAGGCAAGAAAAACCAAATGCACAAGTACAGCATAGGTGGCACCTTGCTCAATAGTAGTAACTGTGAGAGGGACCTCAGAGTCCTAGTAGACAATCACCTAAATATGAGCCAGCAGTGTGCTGCAGTTGCCAAAAAGGCCAACACAGTGCTAGGCTGCATTAACAGAGGGGTAGAATCAAGATCACGTGAAGTATTAATACCACTCTACAATGCCTTGGTAAGGCCACACTTGTAATACTGCATCCAGTTTTGGTCACCACGATGTAAAAAAGATGTTGAGACTCTAGAAAGAGTACAGAGAAGAGCAACAAAGATGATTAGGGGACGGGAGGCTAAAACATATAAGGAACGGTTGCTAGAATTGGGTATGTCTAGTTTAACGAAGAGAAGGACAAGGGGGGACATGATAGCAGTATTCCAACATCTCAGGGGCTGCCATAAAGAAGAGGGAATTAAGCTATTTTCCAAAGCACCTGAAGGCAGGACAAGAAGCAACGGGTGGAAACTAATCAAGGAGAGAAGCAACCTAGAACTAAGGAGAAACTTCCTGACAGTGAGAACAATTAATGAGTGGAACAACCTGCCTCCAGAAGCAGTAAATGCTCCAACACTGGAAATTTTTAAGAAGAGACAGGACAGCCATTTGTCTGAAATAGTATAGGGTTTCCTGCCTGAGCAGGAGGTTGGACTAAATGACCTCCAAGGTACCTTCCAACTTTACTATTATTATTATTATTATTATTATTATTATTATTATTATTAGTAGTAGTAGTAGTAGTAGT